CAGAGTAACCTTCAAGACTTCTTTCTTGGTGCCCAGACTGCACCAAAAGAACATTTTAAAATTGATAAAGTAAGCCAAAAAGCCTTGAAATAAAGTATCTGAAGTTAAACCTCAACTCTGACCCATGTTATCAGTGCAAGAAAAGTCTCACGTATCACATCTTTTGTCAATCTCTATTCCCTTATGACCCTTAAGTTGCAATGTGGGACACATTTTTCTGATACAGTTGATTGTATATTTAAGTGGTACCTGCAAATCAAACCCAAACAAGAACCAAAGCAGGTGAGCTGCAAATAACCACAATCTGACAGCTAACCCAGACAGATCACTGTCATCTCACACCTACCTACACCTGCACTGTTGGACTGGTATTGTGGGAGCTGATGCAGATTTCAGAGGGTGCTGCTGTAGTGTTTAAGTGTCTTGCTGAAGACTGTACAAATCTGACACTAAGAAAGGAACAGAAAGCACGTATCTCAGTTCCTGCCATATTTACTCAGCTAAAGTATTTTGGTTTCCCTTTAGTGTTTTCTAGGGCTTTTTAATCCAAATGTTCTTCGAATCACAACACTTTCTTCTCTCTTAAGTCATGTCATCGTATTGACTGATAATAATAAAAAGGTAGCTACGGTGTGAGTTCTGAATGGATTACTTTATTCTGTACCTGGTCTCAGCAATATCCTATTTCTGTAAGACTGTCCAGTGGATCCTGTGCTGCTGGATGTGTGCCAACAGTCTTCTGAGCAAACATACAGGACGAGGGCTGTGAACAGGCAAGCCACTGTTTCAGTGCCGGTTCTTTTACGGAGTGTATATTCTGTGCTCAATCCTGCTCAAGGCTCCCACAAAAATCAGCTCATCTGCCCAGAACAGGGAGACTAACCACAGCTCAGTATGTAATAAATATACAATTGCCCCCTGAAGAAATTAAAAGTGTCATCCTTTCCTTGGAAATCCCTCAGTACTGTTGTGTCTTTCCTGCCATGTTACCTGCTTCGTGCTGAGATTGCACAGTAGGATGTCTCCAGCTGCTGTAGCAACACACACGCACTCCTGCTCTGGAAGATCTTCAATACCCACAATGCAGCCACTTCCATCTTCAGGCATGAAACCCTCCGCAGTCAAGGAAACTTCTCTTGTCACCTTGACATAGAGAGACCAATGACTTATTAACTACAGATCACCTCACTGGGATTTTTGCAGAAATGACAGAATAACATCCATGGTTATATTTCATCCTACTGCAATTACACAAAGCATTACACAGCAGAAGTAAGTATGTGAATGGCACCAAGAAACAGCCAATGTGCACGTACTTATCTTCACTTATCCATAGGAAACTGTGAAGGTTCTCTTATGTTAAAATCGCTAGACAATGAGAAAACTCACATAAGGGAGCAAATAATAAATGGCAATACTACAACTTCCAATTTGTCTCTGTTCTAATCATCTTTCAACCCCCCTTTCATACTTCTCCATGTAGTGTTAACATAAAGAGGTGAATGAGTAGCTGCTTAGAGTGTCCCAATACTTTCAATGGGTCATTCAGACTTCACAGACACAGCATATAAAAACATTTAAAGGAAAATAATTTGGATGCACATTCAGTTACAGCAAAAAAGGGAAATTCTGGCTAAATTAGCTTTCTCCAGCTTAGTTGCATGAATGTTTTTACACATCCAGTCATCAGGGAAAAACAACACAGTAATAAAGACCTGAAATAATCCCCAAAGCCGGAAAAGGAAGCTGACGTATTTAGCAACTTCAGAATTATTATTTTTTTTTTAATTCTAAAAGGATTTCAGCCGATAGCCTTCATAAACAGACCACAATGGAGATTTTCAGAAAACACCCGTCTTTAAAAATGAGATCCCAGGAAAGCCCAAAAGCTCTGCTGTCAGCTAACTTCAGAACTGAACAAACTGAGAGGAAATAGACGCCTTGAAATTGCACAGTGTGTTTCCAAAGAAGACACTGCAACCCAGCTCCAACCCAGCTCTAACAGGAATTCATGGCTCAATAGCAGTTTTCGATTTTGCGCTCTGAGGTTTTTTTTCTTCCCTACAGCACGGTTCCAAAAGCTTCCTCGTCTAGTCTTCACTATCCCTTTGCCTGTTCGTTTCCGTTTTGTGATGCAACTGCTTGCCGGATCATGCTTAAGACTACACCACGGGGATGACCCGTGTCAAATACAACCACCCTCTTGCAGGCAGACTTCGTATTTTAAAAGCACAGCAAGTCACTCGAGCCGCTGAGATCACAGTGCAGCCTCACAGCCAACGTCCTCGGCACCGTCAGACAGCAGCAAGCGGCGGCAGGGAGCAGCAGGAGGCTCTAAGGCCCCGCAAAGGCCGCTACAAGGAGCGAGCCGTACCCCAGGGCAGCCGCGACCCGCCCGGAGGCCAGCTCCCGCTGACGGCGGCCCAAACGCTTTAATCGCCGCTTTGCAACGGGCGGCCCAAAGCCGCCCCTAACGACACGCCTGCAGCGATGCGCGAGAGCCGACAGCCCCCTCCCCCGAAGCCACAGCCCTGGCCCGAGCCTGACAGCGACAAGCGGCCGCGGCTCCCGGTGCGCCCGGCGGCGGCTCTAACCGAGTCCCCGGCGGCGCCCAGCTCCAGAAGGCCGTGCTGTGAGCCCACGAGGACCGTGCCGGGCTCGGCACTGAGGCAGAAGCACTGCGGGCTGCCCGCGGCGGCGGCGGGGCGGCGACCGCCGGTCCGCAGCAGCCGCAGATTCCTCATGGCGGAGCAGCGCCACGCCGCTCACGGAGCCGCCATCTTCTCCGCGCCGGGCGGGCGGGCGGAGGCGATGGCGCATGCGCGGGCCGCAGGCGCAG